AAAAAAAAAAAAAAAAAAAAAAAAAAAAAAATTATATATATACAGAAGCAAACGAACAAACACACACGTAGTCAGCACCGGTGCGGATCGCTAGCTTGATAAAACTTTTCCGCCGCTTTAAGACGAGCCGTATAGAATGTGGCAGGGCGTCAAGAGACTCCTGAGCACCACCAATCACAATTGTAATGGCGCGTCCCATGCCTTCACCATTAGCTCCCTTCTTGATAAGTAAGTTCTTGCATGATTCGCGGTAATTGATTGCTCGTCCTATGGCGAGAGCATATTCTCTATTATCACATATTGATGCAACAGATACAGATAGCCGAAGGATCAGACCTGTCAATGCATCCATTCAAGCTGGACGATTGGTATAAAGACTACGACGATTCAGTTGGACAGTCTATGCCAGGTTAAAGTAACCGCTTCTTCATCAGTATTCTCCCCACGGAGAAAATCAACGATGACAGTTTCAATCGAGTCGAGATCAAAATGCGAAGGTCGTAAGAGTTGGTTACAAGCAATCACACGGCCTAGGTGCATGAACGCGTCTTCGAAGAACACATCAAGGTAAACGTCCTCCCAGGTGGGACTTTGAAGATATTCGATCTCCGGGACCTGGTGAAATCGACGGACAATCGGGACGACAACATCTTGTATGTAACCAACAAGCGATTTTCTTGCCTCCTCCTGGTTGACATTGTAGGCGATGTGATCACCGGCCACCAAATGAGTGATGAGCTCTTTCACATGGTAAAGCTGCAATCCTTGCCAAACAATCGTCTTGACTGTGCGCTTTTTGAAATTGTGTTTTGCCCCCTCGCCATCTAGCACATATTGGCACATATTCGCAAGGGCCGATCTGTTATGTTCTTGAGATAAGGGCCCTAAGCCATCCAGATATTTCTTGAGAAGAAATAAGTCCATATCGAAGTCCTTGGCATCAGCGTCGGATCCAGTAGTATCGGAGAGATCGGCTTTATTGGCTGCATTGTTTGCTGGCCCTTGCACAATTTGTCCGCGAGGCCCCAATACTCCCCAAGTTTCGCGCGGACGTGCCTGGTATCGTAGAACATCTTCCTGAGGATTTCGCTCCGTGGCGGCATTGATGATCGCCCTCGCAATATTGGGAGGGAGTACAAAATGGGAAATATTGTATGAGAGCAAAGTTCTTGCACCCATGGTGATTGCTGGCCGGCTTGTCTCCTGCCCCTCAGGGACGGATTCCATCTCTTCCTCGATGCGTGCAATATGCTCTGTGATTTTCCCTTCTGGGTGTGTCGTCAACTCTCGGAGCTACGCCATCGCGAAAAGGGAGCAACGACGCTTCCCGGAATTGGAGAGCCAATTCTATGACAGTTCGTCATCCTGAGATGCCGTTTCCACTAACACGTCTCGCCCAAGTCCGATGCCAGGACCAATAGCGGACCACGACCCCGAGTGACAGGCCTCATTAATTAATGTCACGCGGAAATTTTGCGGCAGGTGGGAAAGTGACGAGACAACTCTGTTGGAGTTAATAGTTCATTCCGCCCACGTGTAGTCAGTCTCAAATCTTCCGCCTTGAAGTCTATGGCCGACGAAAATAAGGACGATTCTCGAGTTGGGAACTAAGCTCCTAGCCACACTGGCGATCCAAATCAAAACGTCATGTTTCAGGCCTTCTGGACTGACCATCGGGTAGAACGGTGTGGTGGCTTCGACCTTGTCATAGACCTGTGTGCAACCGATGTCTTCCCTACCGAAGACCAGTGGGAAGTTGACTAATTCCATGACATCTCTTAAATCTTTCCCCGATATACATGTAGGATTTAAGCCATTTGCTATAAGCTTCTTCGCTATGGTAACAAAATCGGTTGCCAGTGGGATGTCTGTTCTGTGGCCGCCAAACACGACCAGATTTTGCGATATACCACTTACCATGCTGTCGACTCCGGCGGTGGCAATGACTTAGTGGTGGGTGGTAGCTTTGAATCTCTTCCAAGTCGACAGCATAACACCTTAGAAGAGAGGAAGGACTTCACACGGCAGTGGTGGTAGAATCGGGCTTCAGATTGGGAATACAGAGATGAGAAGTGCCTCCGTATGGACGTATGACATAATATAATTCTGCCACCGCATCCAACCGCGACGAAAAACAAGACAGAAAACCAGAGCATGGTTGACTTCCTCGTTCTGCGCAGATCTAGTTTCAATTTGGATGGGTTAATCAGTACCTTCTCACTTACTCGGGGAGGCCAGGCGACGGGTGATAAGATTTCCCATTTTGAACGCCATAATGCAGATTCTTTTGCTATAATACACCCACATAATACACAGAGAAAATTTTCTGACTTTTTTTTTCCCCTTTCCGTTTTTTGGTCGTTAATATAAAAAAGTTGGTGGCCACAACCTTAATTCGCTAAGGACGTGTATCCGCAGTCGCCTAAGTACATTTGTCTCATAGCAAAAGAAGAACATTTTCAACCCGTCACAAACAAAACTCCACCCATTAAAACCCTTACTCCTTGGTCTTCTGGGTACCACGGAGCAAACCGGTTCTCCGGGCAGCAATAAGACCGGCCTTTTGACCACGGGCAGCGTACCGGGACATGGTAGAGGCTTTACCGATGTGCTGGTGGTTACCACCACCGTGAGGCTGTAGAAAAATATGTCAGAAATTCTGTTTTTGCAATTGTAGAGATAGAGAAAACATACGTGATCCACGGGGTTCATGGCAACACCACGAGTCTTGGGCCACGAGTTGCGCTTGACAGCAAACTTGTGCTTGGCGCGAGAAGCCTTGAGCAAAGGCTTGTCGGTACGGCCACCACCGGCAACGATACCAACCATACCACGCGAGGTGTTCTTGACAACCTTCTTGGCACCAGAGGGCAGCTTGACACGGGTCTTGCCGTCCTCAGGGTTCTGGCCGATGACGGTAACGTAGTTGCCGGAGGTACGACCAAGAGCACCACGGTCACCAGACTTCTCCTCGACGTTGGTGATGACGGTACCTTCGGGGACGGAGGCGAGAGGGAGGACGTTGCCGACGGTCAGAGTGGCGTTCTTTCCGGCGTAGATGAACTGGCCAGTGTACATGCCCTCGTTGGCAATGAAGGTCTCGGTGACCTGCTTGAACTTGTAGGGGTGACGGAACTGGACCTTGGCGAGGGGAGCACCACGGCCGGCATCGTGGACGATCTCCTTCACGACACCACGAGTGTATCCATGACGCTCAGCGTAGTCGAGCGTACGGAACTGGGCGGGAGCCTTGTTGAGACGGGTGTGGGCCGCTGAACGCAGAGAAAAACGAGTCTCGTCAGCAATTCTGTATCTCCATTGTTGTTTCCTGCCTGTCGTCTTTTCGATTTCGAAAAACGATGTCTTTGGCTTCGTTCAGGTTTTTTTTTTTCTGCGGTCGCACTCACTGAAAATGGATCCACGTCCCTTTCTCTGATTGCGGATCACACGACCCATGGCGACTTTTTATCTGAGGACCTAACGTTAGTATCACGAAGAAGTCCGCCTGATGACCGGGTGGTGGGAGTGTTCTTGAATGCTCGTACCTCAAAAATCGGAAAATGGGCTTGTCGGGTTGATTGTTAGGAGAGAATTCGTCGAAGAGCGGACTGTGTGGGCTTTAGGGCGGAATCGCTAATCTAACCGAGTTGGCACTAGTGCCCTTCTGGGTTGCCCTTTACGGTAGACCAAATGAGCGTTATTCCACGTTTACTTTGTACTTTAGTATGGCTGAGTACTAGAAATCAATACAAGACCTAATTGACTATTATCAACAGACTTTTCTCTATTATAATATGTATATTCCCAGTGGTATTCTCTATGATTCTTAAGTTGGCATGAGGATTCTGCCGACCCTAACTAGCCTCAGCTGACTAAGCCGGAAGTCTAGTTAACTTAACGCAACGCGGGCGCTGGAGACCTGAGACTTGTTATTTGGCCATGATCCAACTCATATGCAAGCCTATGATGTCGCATCGATAAAAGTAGCTTAAGTGATGGAAATCGCCATCATATCGATGGATTCTGTCAGGCAAGCTATATCAACTCTAGTCCTCAAGTTCTGGTCTCTCCTGCAGATATTTGACTGAATATCAGACTGGCGCAAAGCTCGATCGCGTGAAAAGAATCCTGTTAGAACAGTCCGATCAGAATAAGATATATACAGCTGCGTCTTCGTCAAGCTACCTTGAGCATACGGTGTCGATATCAATAGTATCACCCAGGCATGATGTCTATACGGAGAGAGACTCGACGGAGAATACGCGATTGCGATTGTTTTGGAAACAAAAGCGCAAATAATTGAGACGGTGCCTCCAGTTATCCGCCTGGATTCGAGAAAGCGCATGGACAGGGCATGAGAGCCACGCCAATGCTAGCATGGTCTCCTAGGATGCCTAGACTTGCTCCTCGTTTGACATATCAGTCTTCAGAAGACTGCGGCTGTTTAGACCAATCCGTTCCCATATACACTCATTTCGACTTCTTCTGCCTTTATCCGACTGTTGTTTTACAATATCATGCCAGCTGCCGACCAAAATTGATCTGTACAATTTTTATCAGAGTACTTCTGCGTAGTTTGTCGTAATTCGGAGCTTATCGATGATGCCAGACGGACCAGGCGCGTAAAAGCCGCGCATCAACCGAGTTGAACTTCGATGCGGCGCGCCCACTTAACTTTCTCCCTGCTTACCATCTTTCTTTCCCCGGATCCAGACCACCGCTCGCGCAACACCAACCCCCCCAAGTCGAGCATGTCGTCGCTTTCAGACTCAGACCTGTCGTCGCTATCGTCAGCGCCTCCTACTGACGATGAAAATGCCCCCATGGCCGTTGATGAGCCTGTTGGCATCACCAAGTACTTCAAGAAGGAATCCGAAACTCCGCCGCCGAAACGGGAACCGTCACCACCGCACGAATATGTGCTCGAAGACAATTCAGATATTGCTGTAAGTTGTGAATGGAGAAATTGGTTTATTAGAACGCCTAGATGACGCGTTGTTTGTTTGATTTGACACGCTTGCTGACTTGTCGCAATCGTGTAGTTCATAGTGATGTTTCGCGCGCGTTTCCACGAAGTGTTTCCCCGGTCGACGCCTCACTACGGTCCACAAGATATTGAGCGAGGAGCTGTGGAAACACCGCCGGGAGATTATATTGAGAGATTGCTATGTGCATTGTTGGGCTTGGTATTGAACAGAAAGAAGGATGTTGAGTATGGCCGCCACCCTGTGCCCAACCCACTCTACGAACGAGAACCGACGATATTCTTGATTTATTGAGAAACGAAATCAAGTTAAGTATATTGGGTACGGACTAATCATTTCTACTTGTGCAGGCGAAATCACTACCAGCGCCCTCTGGAAGAAGCAGTTCAAATACATGCGTCTCAATGGCCCAAGGCTTGGCAAGGTAAGAACCCCCTTCATGGGGGACGCAACTTTGCGTCTATGGAACCAAATGAACGGGTAGGTCAAACGACTATCGGGCAATCACAAAACTATTCTGACCATTTCTGTTCAAAGTTGCTACTGATCAAATCGTTGATCCTCTGGGCCCTTTCCTCCTCCGAAGCCGTCCAAGCGAAGATCAAAGAATCCTACAAGCAAGCGCGCCACGATGATGATCTGAATCAGCCTCTCTCCGTGCAACCCTGGGGCCGCGATGGCCTTAAGCGCCGATACTGGCTTATCGAAGGAATGGACGATACACACTTTAGGTTATACCGGGAGGGTAACCCTGCGCTGAAGAACGTCACTTGGTGGAGTGTTGCAGGAACCATTCCCGAGCTGCAGAGCTTCGCCGACAAACTTGGAGAGGACAAGAGTACCCATTCGAAAAAGCTCAGCGAGAGAATCAAAAATTCCGTCCCTCGGTTCGAGGGCTCTGAAGAGGTAAGCTTGCATGCACTTCTTCGCTTGTGGTATATGGTGGGCTGTACTGACATGGCACTAGAAACGTAAACGACGCGACTACAGAATTGCGCGCAAAGCTGCCTTTTCTCGACCGGAACCAGGTTTTTCTCTCTACGAGGGTCGTACTCGCGGAAAGAAGCTCAAATACACATATTCTGATGATGAGGAAATCTTTTCTGATGATCAACCCACAACTCGAAAATCCACTCGAAACGCCTCCGGTACCGCCACCCCTGCAGAAGCCGCTGGTCCTCGGTTTACAGCAAGCGGGAGGCAAGTTCGGACCCGTGCTGGGGGTCTGTATGGTGAAGCCCTGCTCGCTAATCAACGTGACGATGCAGCAGATGAGGAAGACACTGGCAGACCTCAAAGAACCCGGACTACTCGCACAAACGGATATGCTGGCTACGACATAGATATAGGCTCGGAAGGAGGACAGTCCAGCGAAAACGAGTGGCAGGGTGGTGACGAAGAAGAAGAAGATAATGACTTTGAAGGCGATGATGAGGAGGAAGCGAGCGGAGACGAATCGGTGACTAACGGCGAAACCCCAAGTCTCGTGGTGCAGCTCCGGTATGGGAAGGGCAGAGCCTCGAACAGTCCTGACGCAGATACAACTCAAGAAGCAGCAAACCACTCCAGTGAACAACAGCCTCCTATTTCTACTCAACAGGAATCCGGTGTGAATGGAAACGGACCTACGGATACGGCACAGGATGCTGATTTTCAGATGCAACTGGATGAAGCACCAGCGGCGGCGGGACAGTCGCTTGAATCTCATAAGGAACAACCTAACGGCTTCAACCAAGGTCCTCATGTCACATCCGTTGGCCAACCTGCCGCTGTTGGCACCGAGACAGGCTAGCGGGTAGCACCTTGGACTATTTCGAAGACTTATGCTACTGAAGGGAAATCTACGTACTAATAGTGTATTGTGTTCTTTGTTTTTGATTAGAGACCACTTGCTGTCTTTTCGCTGGATATGTATGGGGTAAAACAAGGAGTTTTCCACTGGCGTTTGTAACATTAGAAAACGGGAACATGTCAATTCGAGAACATCTTGAGGCTATTGTAACAATTCGTTTGAAGGTGTTCAGCCAACACTTTTCTCACTTCCCACTCTGTAGTCAAATCCACATCAAGCACGTACAACGCGGGCATCAATTCTATACATAACCGCCCATGAGAATGACCTATGCGGGATCTGATATATACCAACAACAACTTTTGCAGTTGATGCAAATGAAACGAGTGTTAAATTCCAACGCCATAAACCTATTAACTCCGATTATGCAAACCCATCAGCCCGAGTGGGAGTATTAACAAAGACCTTCAGTCAGAACCAGCGTTTGCGAATTGCGTCTTGTAGAACTGTAAGAACTCGGAGAGTGTCAGCCTTTCCAATTCACACTACAACCAACAATGAATTCGACATTAGACACCATACAATCGGAGGCGTAGACAGAATCATACTGGGGCGCACTTACATCTTCAACTTGCCCCGCGAATCGGGAGTCCTTTGTAAACTTCAACGGAGGAAGCTTCCAGTTGTTGACCTCGTACCACCACCGGCGTACCCTGCTTCCTAGTGTTCTGCCGCTCAGCGAGGCGTTGCGGTTCCAGTATCGCCATCCGGAGAGGGCGAGGGTCCAAAGAGTGCCCTGGACTAGCGGGAGGATGACCTATACAGGTCATTATTGGCCAATCTTTCTCTATTCCCCTTCAAGAAGCGCAAACCAACCTGATCCCTAATCGTAATCCAAGCAACCCGTCCCCAAGTATCCGCATCCTTCAGACTAGCCAAGTAGCTCTGCTCGAACCGCAAATCCGGCAACGGAGGGAGATGCTTCTGCCGGACCATGGTTCTCACCATTCGACTGGGATCAACCACATCGGAAGGAATGCTGTCTGTATCGTCCATGATTGCGGATTCAGGAACGTGCTGCTTCTCCGAGGCGGAGGTGGTTGGGTTGATGTCGTGGGCCGGGGAGGGATCGGGGTTTACAGAGGCCGCTTGAACGGTCCCTGCAATTTCGGATGCTGGTTCGGCCATGATGGTGAGACAATTGGCGGGTGGTAATAGCTGATGTTGGCTTTGTTGATGATGGTGGTGGTAGCTGTATATGGATCTATTCTCCTGACGCAAAGCGGAGAAGCCAGAATTACATGGTCTGTAATGTCGTGACAATACATACATACCCCTCCAGCCAAAGAGCCTCCCCACCTTTCCGTCCTATTCCTGATTCTCACTTCTCTTTCACTTTCTCCCTTTCTTCTCCTTCACGCACTCCTAACTCCTGTCTTATTCAATTATTTCTTGTTCTTATCCATTGATCAATCAAAATGGCCGGATACCCTTTGCTCTGCTTGGAGAACCCTCTCCTTGGTATGTTAACGCCCATGAATAGCAAATAACAGGATGCTAACATTGAACTTTTACAGACATTCAGGCTGTCGGGTATGCTCAAGTCGCTGACTCCATATCGAACATCGACTAATGACAATCCAGTGACGCCGATCTGCTGCAGAAGTATGGACTGAAAGACAACGACGCCATCCTCGCCGAGGACAAGCACATGGGTCTCTACGATGAGCTGATGAAGCTTGACGCTAAGCTCATTGCTGGTGGTGCTGCCCAGAACACCGCCCGTGGTGCTCAGGTAAGCCCTAATTACAAGGGCCGGAAAAGGAAATACCGGTTTCTGACATTGTCCAGTACATTCTCCCCGACAACTCGGTCGTCTACATTGGCTGCGTTGGAAAGGACAAGTACGCCGATCTCCTCAAGGACGCTTGCACCAAGGCTGGTGTCCACACCGAATACCGTGTCGACGATGTCCAGCCTACCGGCAAGTGCGGTGTCATCATCACCGGCCACAACCGCAGCATGTGCACTCACCTTGCTGCCGCTAACGAGTACAAGCCTGAGCACTTGAAGCAGCCTCAAATCTGGTCTCTGGTCGAGAAGGCTCAGGTCTACTACATTGGTGGATACCACTTGACTGTCTCCGTTCCTGCTATCTTGGCTCTTGCTGAGGAAGCTGCTTCTAAGAACAAGGTATGTGTGCACTTATAACTGACTTTGGACATGGTCAATCTAATGCTGTGACAGATCTTCATGCTCTCCCTCTCCGCTCCTTTCATCCCTCAATTCTTCAAGGACCAGCTCGACACCGTCCTGCCCTACACCGACTACACCTTCTGCAACGAGACTGAGGCTCGTGCCTACTCCGAGAGCCACGGCTGGGGTACCGACGACATTGTCGAGATCACCAAGAAGCTTGCTCAGCTCCCTAAGAAGAACACTAGCCGCCCTCGTATCGCTATTGTCACCCAGGGTACCATGCCCACTGTGGCCGCCTCGGCCAAGCCCGACGGTCAGATCGAGGTCAAGGAGTTCGCTGTCCGCGAGATCTCCAAGGACGCCATTACCGACACCAACGGTGCTGGGTATGTATCCGATCTACAGACAAGGGGCTTCATTAAACTAACATATCTTGCAGTGACGCCTTCGCCGGTGGTTTCGCCGCTGGTATTGTCGAGGGCAAGTCTCTCGAGGAGAGCGTTGACATGGGTCAATGGCTCGCCAGCCTCAGCATCCAGGAGTTGGGACCTTCGTAAGCCACCATCTCTTTCTGACGAATGACGAATTGAATTAAGAGCTAACCTTGACTTTTTCACGTCCAGGTTCCCTGCCACCAAGCTGACCTACTCCAAGCAATAAATAATTCAATAATCCCACCGCAAAAATAAAAGCCTTCAACATTAGCCTCGTCAATCGGCCACGGGGCTTATAGCCTACTGCAGCTATTATTCTTTTTCTTCTCTGATTGTTTTCAACCTATACCCTATTTTGTCTTGACTTTAACGTCCTAGACCATGTTTCTCAACATACGCAATTTTCATGTAACGGTTATCATGATATAGATGTGACGTTCTCAACAACGATTTATGAATAAAATTGGTTAATGTCATATGGCAATGAAGACAATAAACCACATAGTCCATGCTCAAGCTAGCATACTTCTAGATAAACGTTCGCTCCTCACCAAATCGAGAAAATACATATGACAACTGCTCAATCCTTCCCCTTGGTTTCCATACTATCCTTCCCCTAAGCAAATTGGCATGCGGCGTAACAGTAGCTACGGCCAAATATCAGTCAGATCAGTGAGAGTCAGTAGATAGCATAGGATCCAACTGCCCAGTTTTCCTTCATTCCCATTATCACTCAGAAATACCAACGAAAGCATGGAGTTCCCGCGTTGCTGTTCATTCACGTGTCTTACAATCAACTTCTGACTCTTTCCCATGGAAAGGGATAAACATGTGCGGCCAGCCATAGAGACAAGAAAGTTGCATGCACGCATGTAGCAATGGGGCTCCATCAATGCCGTGCCTGTTTTGATAGGCATCAAAAGTACAATCCATAACTCACTTCTTTTATTCAAAGGCAAGCAAGAACAGAGAAAAGCAATCAACCACCCTGTCCACAAGGCGGCGTCTCACCAATAGCACCAAGCTGCGTTCCAGATCTGCGACTATTACCAAAGCCAGGACTATACCCATGTCCACCGGGGTATCCCATCGAAAAAGGCGGGAAGTGACCGTTGCTAGCGATGAAGGCGTCATTGGGCCAGGAGGCGTTTGCTAGCGCCCTTGCACTGGAGTTCGACATCGGGTTGCTGGATGCGGGCGCGGATGGCCCGAACGGAGCTGGCGCGGGGGATGAGGTAAGACTGTCCCAGCCTGTGCCTAGTCCCGAGGGGCGGTTGTGCATGGACACGCTGCTTGGTGACGATGGGGTCCATGGGGAGGACAGGGGACCGGATCCGTTGTGGTTCGGGTATTGGTTTTGGCGCAGTAACTGCTGCTGTTGTTGGTAGAACATGAGATCGCGAGCAACTGACGATGGCGAGCTTTGGGATGGACGGAAACCGGGGGTGGTCATATTCATGCTTGGTTGATACATCGAGTTTGGTTGTTGTTCCAAGCCCGGAGGCGGTCTGGGGGTTCCGAGTGACGATGGCTCTCCGGATGGAGAAAGACCGGTATTCCAAATGCTGGGCAAGATCGAGGGCAGGGGCGTAAACGACTGCGACGACGCTAGAGCGGCATTATTGGCCATGGGTGGGCCGAGTCCGGGAGGCGCCATTGGCGTGCTGTGGGGAATTATGTTCTCTTTCCGGAATGCAGAAGAGCCCCGATCAGACTCGAATGGGTTGCCAGAGGGAGTCGGCAGTTGGCTGTTGCTGAGGAAGCCCGGTTGCTCAGACACATTGGGTGCGTTCTCGTAGGTGTCTGACTCGACTAGTTTTTCCACGTCTTCGACGATGCGGTGCATCTCAGACATGGAAGCTGAGGCTGATTGAGAGCCACCATAGACACTTCTGGAATCGGCAATGTTGTTCGAATCCTGCACTGCTCGTTGGATATCGTCTCGTCCGATGCTCGTGGACGAAAGCGTGTGGTGATGACCAGATGGGCTGGCGAAGAATTGGGACGGAAGTCCTTCTTCCTTGTAAATGAAGCTCTTTTTGTCGTTGTCATCCACAAGTGCTATCGGGATTTTCTGGACGACGTTAGCATATCTTGACTCAACAAAGCAGAGGTAGGGAAAGGGGCCATACATTTCCCACGACAAGATCAAGACCGTCAATAACGAACTCACGGATTCGATACAGCATTTCGATATTCGGATGGCTTCTCTCCACGCCCTCATCGTGCATTCGGAGCTTGTGTTTCCCATTGGCATCTAAGTATCTACGAGACGTAGCCTTCTGATCCAGCGGCGCGAAACCAAGAGTCTCTTCGTCTTCCTCCAAGAGATAATCAATGTCCGGAAGATTAACCACTTCAAATGTCGACGCAAGAAGTGTCAGAGTGTTGGCATAAATTTTCCAAAATTCGGCAATCTGGACAGACATTGGCGTATCTTTCTCCTCCTTGTACGCCACCAGCAGAGAACTGACAGTAAGGAGCCAGGAGCTGTAGTTGCGAAGAGCGGGTAGGACGCGACGCGCGACAACAGTAACTTTCTCAGGTTTGGGCGTTCCGTCTTGGTCTTCAACCGCGAACCGTTCCAATTCAGCTAAAAGAATCTGGAGCAGGGTGAAGAAAGTTTTCACATTAATCCGCTGAAAAAAGAGACGTGCATTGGACGAGAATTCTTCTGGGTTAAGAATCAGTAAGATGTCTTGTTTTAACATGGCAATGTCGAAACCTACCATCAGAACGTTTCCTGGCAAACTCCTCCGCAGCAATGTTGACCAAGCAGAATTTCTGGAGAGTGCCCTCAAGAGAACGCTCCTTGAGGTCAACAGCAAGCTGGCTGAGAACCTCGCTTTCCAACTCATCGTGTTCAGGAAAATCAACACCCTTGTAGCACTGTGCGTGAAGATACACAAACCAAGGAGCCAATGCCCTGCCTGGAATACCGGCATCCTCAGGACGGATCAATTCTCTCTTTGCCCACGCACTCATGACCTTTCTAAACTCGATCTCCAAGTTGCCCCTAGCAGATGGGTGGGGATCGTGGGCGGACAGTGCCCTGTAGAGATGGTAAGTGGCCCTGAGGTGGCTTCCATCGGCGAGCGCAATGACAGCCAACTGGTTATGCGATGCGCCAGAAGCCGGGTGAATCACCATGGCCAGATCATAGTATCCGATCGCAGGACCCCAATTGCGATCTTTGGTAACAAGCTCGGTCTCACGGTAGCGTGAGAGATCGCCGAGGCGAATGAGGGTTGCATGGCATGATTGGAGTATACGAGTTCGAAGGCCTTCTTCCGCTGTCTGGGCTGCGGACTGCGCCGACAGGTCTGATATGATCTTAACAAAGACTTCCTCGAGAAATGATAATGGAAAGGCAATGCGTGCTCACTTTCATGGTTAAATTTCCGCGCAACTTTCTCCAGTTCAGGAATGCCCCCGAAATGCGACGAGAGTTGCTGGATATACCCTCGATAGAATCGCTGACTGGATTTGATGAATTCCAGATAATGTTTCTCAAGTTTCCGTTTCTCGACCGGTTTCTTCTTCTTCCCATTCTCCTCGCGATACTATCGTATATTGACGGATGATTAGAATAGAGCACGCAATGCCAACCTTTCCGGACCGTATGTATGGAACTCACGCGGGAGAGCAGTTTACGGAACCGACTGTTTATTTTGAGATGCGCATCCCATAGGCGACCTTCCACATCGATGGAGCGGGCGGATTCGAAGTCTTGTAATATGGCATTCTGGCAAGCCGCGCGGAGTCTGTAAGGAGTCGAACGAGGGTCAGATCAATCATGGCGAGCGAACCACAGCACTGTGGTGAATACTGACATCGAAAGGTAGTGGGAGATCCCAGCAAACGTAGGCTCCTTCTCAGCGAGACTCTTAAAGAGCTCCCTCTCGGCTTCGAGCGCAGTCCTAGATGACACACAATTCAGCCTAAACCAGGATAGAGGGGGGAGATATTGTAACCACTGACTGCCACGTATTCTGGAATTCGGACGCCATGCTCGAAGACCAAGACGAAATAAGTCCCAAGACCCGACTCACTCCACCGTTTACCTCGCCCGTCAGATGGCTATGGCTGGCTGGAAGTCTGCGGGCGACAATAGCAGTAAACGATCCATCAGTATATCCTATCAGTGCTGAGCGCGCGGGCGACGACCAAGGATTGTCAGGAGCGGAAGATAGACGAGCCCTGAAGAGAAACAAAGAAAGAAATGACAAGTGAAGACGACGAGGGTGAAGAGGCCGCTCGTTGGAGAGAAAATCCTCATTCCTTCACATCCGCTTCGGGAACTTTTTGACGCCGTCCGAAAAAGGACTAAGAGGGATGTCCTTGTGGCTGAGCAGGCGGTGATTGGATGCTGGCTGTGGCTGGTGTGGGAGAGGGTCCGGTAATCGGTTTACCATACGGTACGATCTGACGTATAGATAAATTACAGCTGGAGATAGTTACAACCATCGTTGTTTATATTCCAATTAATAGGAAAACCAGAGAGATTATGAAAGAAGAAGGCTACTCTTGACATATACTAACACATACCACTCTCATAACATCACAGCCATTCTCCATACGGTAAGTATACAACCTGCAGAACCAACTCAAGCATCCAAACTGACCTATCATGTACAGCACCTGCCCAAGGCCCAATCCAGCATACATCACCACCCAGAAATCCTACTTAATAATAAAAAGAAAGCAAGGACAGCTCAAACCATGTCCAAGCGATCCCGGGGTCTCTCAACCTCCCCTCCAACCGACCCGTCTCCGCTCGAGACCCGGGCAAAATCCTCTTCTCCAGCATTATCAACACCTCAAGGACGCTCCAAACAGCTTCATCTCCAGGACACAACCAACTCCGCAGTCGAGGTGATGCGCTGTTCCTTGCCGCCGCATATGGAGGCACTCTCGTTCGCCTCGTATGTGGATTATGAGGTCCATTATCGACAAACACATGTGAATCGGTGCGTTGAATGTGGGAAGAATTTCCCGACGGATTTGTTTTTGAATTTGCACATTGAGGAGAATCATGATTCTCTGATGGTTGCGAGAAGAGAGAGGGGGGAGAAGACTGTAAGTGTTCATTCTTATCGCTTTCGCATCTTGGTTTATCTGTTATTATATGCAGCTGGCTGATTGATTCGAACAGTATGGCTGCTTCATTGAGGGTTGTGAACGGAAATGCTCGACGCCTCAGAAGCGTAGAATGCATTTAATAGACAAGCACATGTTTCCAAAGGTAAAGCATAGAATTCCCTTGGGGGATTATATATATGCCCTTGAACATAAACAGGAGTTAACATCCCCAGACATATAATTTCTACATAGTCAACGACGGAATCGACAAGCAAACATCCCTGCTGCGACCGATGAACTCCAGCAACAGACGTCGACTCTCAAACGCTCCTACATCACCAAAGGAAGGACGTCTAAGAAACCGTCAGACTTCCATATCTCAGCAAGGGAGTCAACCACTTCCAATTTCGTCAACAGGGGGAGCATCGCAGACACAGACTAAGAAAAATCCGGATGATATGGACATCGCAGATCTTGAGAAGTCTATGTCTGCTTTGCGATTTGTGCCTACGAGTGTCACGAGGAATCGGGGGAAACCTGGAAGTCGGGCCTGATGTATAGACCAGAATGAGAATGCTTGAAGAAGTAATGAACATTTGCATTTAAAATAAACCCATGGAAATTGATGACAGAGAAGTAAAAGTAGCTTTAAAAGGCTCCTATGAACTCCATAACCCCCCGAGAATAACAGTTCCAAACCCACCAGTGGAAAGAGCAGTACAACGCTTTTAAATAAACAGACAAGCAAGAGGTAATAGATATGGGTATACAATAGCAAACCACATCAGATCCCAAAAGACCTATAATGCAGCTGGAGGCACCAATCATGGCTGCGTCTCCAAAAGATCAGCATAAGCATCCAAGCTCGACCCAACCAAATCAACAATAGCCCAGCTGGTATTCCCCTTGAAAGTCCGCGCCCAGACACGGACAATAGCAACACTAAGCTGCCTCGCTTTATATGGGTTAGCCAGGAAATCCACGTCTGGTGCTCCCGGCGGATCAACAGCCATGTCAGTTTCGTCCATCATACTCTTAATCCATAAGAGTAATTTCCGTTCATGGTCTGTTAACCGTTGTTCTGCTTGTGTGGCTGGGATGGAAAGCAGCCAGCGACTCAGGAGAAAGGCGCATTCAAGGCTGCAGAGGGAATGCTGGATGCTCCAGAAGAATGAGTGCGTTCGTGCGACGAAATCGATTCCCAGGCGTACTGGGATCGAAAGCGCGTGGGCAGAGTGTAACAGTGCCATTATGAGACGGGGACTTCGTGCTATAGGTGGGGAATCATTCAACGCTCGTGCGATCTGGACCGGGTCCTGTGTGATCAGCCGACGACAAGGTCCCATGTCGACATGTAACCTAATATAAGCCAAGCCAAGAAGAGCCGTGGACGTGAAAGCAATCGGGCCGGCTGGGTTTTGTGGGTCGATACTGGACTCCGGGGTCCGCTTCCATAACGACTTCCACGAGCTGAGAGAATGATCCAGGATGTTGAGATCTTCCTGTCTCAGACTGGTACCATGCATAGCCGGCGCTGAGAGGCAAAGCTGACGAGCAAAGAATATCTGTTGGATAAGGGCATGTATGAGAATATAGTTTCCTAGAGGAGAAATCGGCGCGGAAGAACTCGGTATGCCCGATTTGAGGAACAGTTTAGCAAACGCTTCCTGGAAGGAAATCTCTGTTCCACTTCTGGCGCGATGAGTCCGGCGCCACTGGACTGCGTTGTTCGCTTTCCACACGTCAGGGGAACACGGCATGTTCAAGTGTAACTCCGCATTCAAGAGCAAGGGAGGGATGTTGTACATAATGGAATGAAGGTTGAAGAAGCAGTATACAATGAGCTTTGTGCGCCTGTTGCCTTCTCCCCGTATCCATTCTTCCCAGCTGCTCGGGTCAGGACTAGGAGTCGGCTCAGATAGGCCGTGCTCTCTGACGAGTCTTGCGAGAGTACTCTGTAACGAGAGTATCTCTCGCAGTAGTTCAGGTTGTCTTTCCCAAGAAGCAAACACTGTGAGTAGCAGGAAAGTGCGAATAACTTCCATATGAGCGTCTGAATCATCGGGAATATATTGTGCGTAGTCCATTGAATGGCCCGCCATGTGCTGATGATGCTGAAATGGGCTGCCCGCATTATTGGAGATAATTGACGAATCTCGGGAGTTATAGAAACCACCGGAATTGGGAGAGTAAAAGTTCCACGTTGGACACGCCACCTGTTTGCTATCCCGTCTCCGAAGCCGTTCCAATAAAATGGCCTTTGCCGCGTGGAAGAGTTCGATGCCCCGGCTGTTTTCAAATCGATAATGTGACCCTGCGGCGGCCAATGCGAGCGTAAGTTCTGGGGAGCACTTCGCAACTGATAATGTCGGAACATGAATGAACGGAAGATGCTCGTTCAGTCCATTAATATAACCGGCAAAGAAGCGAGAGAGGGCATGCCTTGTTGGTTGAACAAAGCCTTTGGGAAGGACATGTGCGAATTCTTCTAATTTCGAAATGAAGACTAGTCGATCCGAATTCGATATGTCCCATGCGGGCCGTGGGCTTTCATCGGTGAATCCGAGTCGATCATCCACTTCGTGAGGTTCTGGTTGCAAAGAGGGTAGTCGAGACCCAAAATTTGAGAAGGATGGGGCGTCATCCGGCGCGGTTCTCGGATCGCTCATCAAATCCGGCCCGAGTCTCGCTGGTGCCGCTTCGCGAATTGGTGTCTTAGTATCCATGGGAACACTGGTTGGTAACATGGGATCTTCAACGGAAGAAAATACCCCGGAATCCCAGTCGGAGGAGAGACCAACACTTTCTAAGAAGACAGTGAAGTCTTGAACCGGGTCTCCTAGATCCGTTAAGTCAAGGATTGATGGCTCCACACCATAATTGTCTGTGATCGCTCGATCTGGGGCCGAGGGAAGTGGTTGAGGAGCACTCTGCGTGTGCGGTGGCTTTCGTAACGACTCGAGTTCTTGCTGACCTTCCAGGGCAACATGGCTAGCGGCATGGGACAAAAGGTTCAAGTCATACCCCCACGACGGGTTGAAATGCGTTGTGTCCACGATGGGCTGGTGTTGGACATGCACCTCCGGCTCCGGCTGCTGTGGGATTCGCTGCGGTTGGACCGGCACTGCATCCGCCAGCTCCAGCATCCGCGAATCCTGGGGGGCAGGGGCGGGAGGAGGAATCAGAGAAGTTGGTGTCGGGGGCACATCATGATGGTGGTGACTATTGTTGTTATTGGTGGTGTTATTGCCGTTGTTGCTGTTATTATTATTATTCTGGCTTCGCTGTTCTCGGCTTGCAGCAGCTTCTGATGGGTGGACTAGACGTTCATGGCGCACAAGCAAATCACTACACAGAGTTTTTTTCCCCCGAATTAGCATGGCGCCGTATGTGTGAGGTGGCTGATTATTCCCCTTACCTTCTGGCAAATGATTTTGAGCAAAGGTCGCATGAAAATGGTTTCTCTTTCGTATCTGTAATGCCAACATCCAGTTAGCTTTGTATCTTTTTAGCCCTGTCCAGGGCCCATCGGGGTTCAGGGACACTCAACGGGTGCGGAGATGGCGTTGGAGATGCTCAAGACGCGCAAACGGCCGGCTGCAATACTCGCAAGTAAGAGACTTGCGGTTGGCGGGAGCGGCTTTCTTCTTCGCTTTTCCGGGAGTAATTTTCTCTTCGTCCATCGCGAATTGCGTAGGAATTTGGAGTCTGTCCTCAACTTAGAAGAGCGGCCGAGCGGGGAAGAAAACCTGTGGGGGGTTGGCATGAGGGGGGAGGCACGTGATCTGCTGCTTCCGGCAAATGGCAGCAGAGCATTACTACGACGCTTACAGGGAAGATACATGATACTAGAGGATATCCCAGGCAAATCAATGCTCAATAGGCGTTGTTGAGGTAGGAATAAAATACCCTTCTGGGCTTACCTCAGGACCCGGTATCATTTATATCTGGCTCTCTGGTCTATCCGGAGCCCGGCATCTTAAATGGGCGGTATGGATGCATCGACATGCTCTCCAACACCCCACTGGTGCGGAGACTGCAAGTCTGTATCTATGCTTGTATACCCGATTTTCTCTTCAGTCAATACAAGCATCGCGGTATCTCACCGTCCGAAGGTTCGAGTTAAGCTTATGTCAATTGGTGTACTTTGGTAGTACGGAATGCTTGACTTTTAACTCACGGTCAACGGCAAGTCGTGCAGGTCCATGGGTACCTATTTTGAGATGATATATAAGTTCTGGCTTCAGATAACATGGTGAGTCTTGTCCGTACTTTTCACCTACTTTACTGTTGATGTCTTGGTAGGCTCTCATTAAATCTACTATGGAAGGAATATCTACCAATCAGACACTATGGCCGAGTGGTCTAAGGCGGTAGATTAGAAATCTACTCTCTTCGGAGGCGTCGGTTCGAGTCCGACTGGTGTCGTTTCCTTTTTGCTCTTTGATTTTTGGCTCCGTAGAATGGCACCGAGAGTCTCCTGTAAGTTTTTGGCTTCAATTGTGGTCGTATGTACAGGAGGGGGTCTATGAGTAGTAGGAAGCGTTGGGCCGGAACGAATGGATGAAACCCGTAGGCATTATGATGGGAATGCGAGCGTTAGTCATAGATGCACTTGAAACCGCTTGAACAGTCCGACGTGTTTGGCCGTGTCGAGAATGATGCCCCTTTATTTGATGTCGAGGCAAGGTTGAAGTACAAATACAGCCCTAGCTCACTATCAACACCGATGTCAAATACTGGGCAGGCGTCTAGAGTCGGATTAAAATCGGGTTCAAACGAGAATCACAGGGCCAGGTTACATTGCAACTCGATTTCCGAACCAGAAACAACCCACAATCTATTTATATTCAGCGAACGAGAGAAAGCGAAGAATGCCATTGTCCATAACTATTTGCTTCCCGATGACAACGACCGCCCCAACACAAGCCATGAAGCAGCTGCCATACACAGCGCAATATGCTGCGGAGGCTGCAAATCACTTTCGCTAGGGTTTAGAGTTAGTCGGGTGAACACGGTACGCTGCACTGGCCTTTCAGAACGACAATGGAGGTCAATACCCGGGTTTTCCATTCTCATAATTATGCCAGCTGGATTGTTTCTGAAGATTTTCAAGCAATATCAGACAGCAAAAAGAGCAAAAAATCGACACCAGTCGGACTCGAACCGACGCCTCCGAAGAGAGTAGATTTCTAATCTACCGCCTTAGACCACTCGGCCATAGTGTCTGACTGGACTGCTTAATTGTGACTTTTGTTTATATAATCAAACAACTAACGATGGAATTAGGAATCATCCGAGAAACTATCCGGTAGCGACCACCATGTTTTTCGGCAATATGTGGAGGGGTGGGTGTTTCAATGGCAAATGGCTCTGGGGAGCTGGGTGAAGAGATAGGCATTCATCAGACACCAGACAATGCATACATGGATAGTTTGTCGTCGAGCAAATGTTCGCGTGAATGGAGTGATCCAGGTATATCCAATATATATTCGGAAGGACGACGGAGAAATCATCAGTCAATGGTTATAAAGGCGACAAAGCAAAGCGCCATAAAAGCCCGTCGTCACGGAAATGCATGTCATAGTATCGTTTGTCCCAAAGCCATGGTTCGACATCACCGTTTGCCCTAATTATCCAACCGCATGCCGTCGAGTACCAGGGATACAGAAATTCAAATACACCCCAGGCAAAAGCATCAAGCAAGCACGATCGACTAGCCTGCTGATGCACAGCCATCTCATGATTATATAAGTATGGCTTGCATGGCTGTAGGAGGCAGATCCAAATGTATAACCATGACATTGAAGAGCCAATACTCCAGATTCGTCAGCGATGGGCCCTGCTACTAGTCATATATACAGGGGTACCCCGGAAAGACGCTGGTGTTTGCCGGGTACAGGCGCCCCTGAACAACGCAGGAACCCCCATGACTAACTTGATAATCAAAAGCCACATGAAGGTCAATACGGACCCCTGATCATTCAAAACAGTCTTCTCGTCAACCGGCATGTGAAATCCGTGGGCTGTGCAACAGCGACGTCTCGAGCCTACCAATGCTAGTGCACCACATAGTTAAACGCCGGTCCTAACCATAGTCATGGGCCACGTTAGATAGCCAAACAGAGTTGCACCATCATCGAATGGCGAGGATCTGGAACGTGAAGTGAAACTCCGGCTCTGAATAAAATGTTAATGTCGCCGGCGCAAAAAGCTAAGGGGGACGCTGTTGAAATACTAGCGCCTGGGGAGTTATGATTGGGCTCCAAGCCACCCTGAAGTATGGAAATAGTCTGCGTACCCCGTACCACGGACATAAAAAAAAGAATAGGGGGGAATACAGGGCCCCAAAACAAAAAATACCGACACCAGTCGGACTCGAACCGACGCCTCCGAAGAGAGTAGATTTCTAATCTACCGCCTTAGACCACTCGGCCATAGTGTCAATTGATGATATTTTGGCTCTTTTATTTACTAATGAAGCAATTTTCCAGGATGCAGCAGAACGTAGGACTGACAGGTTTCACTCTGCACGATTAGCCACTTATTCTAGTATGGAGTACATGTATGTCTAATGCTCCTGGATCATCCAGTCTGATTCAAGACGAATTCCAACCGATTTGTGGCTTTCGAGTAACCCAATGTTTGGGAATCTTCACCAGCCACTACGAAATATTCCACGCTCACCGGTCACATGACCCACAGACGCTGTCTGTCAAACATGATCAGCTCACACCGCATGGAAGAATGGATGGCACTAAGTGTATGGAGACCGGATACTTTGTAGGAATTGGTTCTTCAAGAACTCCTGGACTGTGTATTTTAGCCCACTTCATCGGTTATTGCCCTGCTCCGATTGGCTCTACCATTGGACCTCCCAAGTGTCTCATTCATAACCACGAGTATGGCGTAGAGAGAGGGAGAAATCCACCAATGTCCATGTCTAAATCCCGTAATTAAAACCCGGAGAAGAACTCGTATTCATCAACCGCCCAAACTTGGCGGTGTTTCAAAAATGCGGCGGGCCCAATCCGTGACCCGAGACAACGATCGGTGGTTTGTTTCATATCGCCGTGTCGCCCGGCGATCGCTTCTTCTTTTTCCCTTTCCTCCTCTCTCACCTCTTTTTTCCCACCTTCTTCACCTTTTCTCTCTTTGTTTGGTGTTTAGTTTCTGTCTCCGTCCGCGTCTCATCCTCCGTCCCGCGTCTTCATTCCCGCTTGGTCAACGGGTGTCAGGGCGTTTTGACGTCTGTCTGCTGCCGCTGTCATCTGGTCACTTTGAAACGCTGGAGTACCATTGATAACGGTTACATTGGAAGAAGAAGAAAGAGATATACAGTGAAGGACTGCAGTGTGCTGGTCTCTTTCTTTATCTTCTCTGTGAGCGGTTAAAGGGATTGATTTACTGTGAGTTTATAAGGCTACTCAGTCTGTAAGGACATGAAGGCCCCCCCCCCCCCCTCGTTTCCCCGACTCTTCCTCCAATCTTCACTATCAATACTCAAGAAAAGCCACCCTCTTACATTCTTCTATATTGCGCATTCCCTTCTTCATACTCCATACTGGTTGATTCAGTTGGTCTCCGGATTCCCGAACCTCCGCCGGCATGCAGAACCGTGAAGCTAACAGATGATGCGTGCGAAGTTTAGGTACCAATCCGTACCATGTATTAGTTGACATCTCATACATTCTCGAATTTATATCAATTTTACATCCCACCAAGAGTCGCACAAGAGTCGAAAAAGTTACTTGAAGCTGCTGGCTGGCTGTCACATACGAGGTTATTCGAGGAACACCGTCCCACAAAACACCCGCAATAATATCTCGACGGATAAATTCGTCACAGAATCTATAGAACACGAGTCAGTCGGATTTCAGAACAACAATGCTGGCATCCAAACCCTATTCTGGTTCGCTGGGTATGCAGGCATCCCAGACACCGACACCATCATACAGCGTTGGATCATCGCAGAAGTCTGCAGGACTGAAACCACAGGAGGGAGCGATGTTTACTAGTTTTACGGATTCGGACTTTTTGGATGGTCAGGATGGGCTTGAAGCTGTTCGGTGGGTTTCACTAAAACGTGAGATTTCAAATGCCGTACTAACCGATCGCTAGTTCCTGGGACGAGAAGCAAGTTATTGCTTGGCTTCACAGCATCAACTGCGGTCAATACGAATCTTTGTTCAAAGGTACATACACAGTCGAGCGTTATAGTCCACTGAGCGGAATTAACTGACGGTGTCTAGCAAACAACTTCAACGGTGACAATCTCATCGAATGTGACCAGAAGATTCTCCAAGAGATGGGAATTAAGAAAATCGGCGATCGTGTACGGATATTTGTTGCCATCAAACAGCTTAGGAATAGATCCGTCGCTAATCGCAAACAAAAGAACATGGTAAGATTGACGTGTCAGTGCTTCAGAAGCTCTTGCTGACCTCCGACACAGATTCAATTGGCCGCACTTGAAGCTTCAACTCTTGGATCCTCTTCGTCGCTTTCCAGCTCCCGCCAGGTCGGAAAGCCATCGTCACGTCCTGTATCGCCCCTGCGAGCTCAGCGGTATGGTAGCCCAGCTGAGACTGGACGGAGAGACTATTTCGGTTACCAAGTCTCCAATGAATCTAACTCTGCGCGGAACCCGGGAACACCAAGTGAGCAGACCCCTGGTGTGAAGGGCTCGCATCTCAGGCGAAACCCCAGCATGGATGGCTTGACGATGGGTCCCTTGCCCAGATCGCCAATTATTAGAGTGATCTACACTGGTGGGCAGACGAAGGTCTTGGACATCAAACACTGCAAAACCCCAGATGAGGTCATCCTTTGTGTTCTGAAGAAGCTGCAGCTTCCTGAGCATCAATATCGCAACTATTGCTTCTATGTATTGGATGGCCTGGACCCGGAACCGGCCAACTGCAGGCGGCTTTCAGATTCTGAGCTCATGGAAGTGTGCGAGGCATACAACCGCTCAGAGCGAGGTCGCTTGATCCTACGTATGACCCACGCCGGCAAACCTGACCTTGATGAGCTTCGCCGTGCTTCTCAGCTCGCGATGGACGAAAGCCAGATCACGCATAGCAATGCTCTGCACAACTCTAATACGCGGAACCAAATGAAGATCAAACAGATTACTGGGGAGGACTTGAAGAAGATCATGACGAGACCAATGTCTCCCGCCAGCAAGAACTCGCGTCACTCGAACTCAGATCGCAACCCGGCATCCAAGCTGCAGTCGTTCTTTGGTGCCAGACCTCCAAGCGAAATGATCATCCACGAGATCCAACAGTATTTCCCAAGCCACCACCGGGAGGAGATCGAGAAGACGATGCGCATGTCAGTGCGGAGGTCACAGCGTCTTAGTCGGGCTGCAAGCCGTCTAAGTGTCGTCAGCAATGCAAGCTACGCATCCAGTCTGCGCGAGGCCAGCTTGCGCGATGCTCCACCAATCCCTAGCATCGCTGACACCTGGCTCACTGGCCCAGGACAGCCCAATGCTCAGAACAATGCGCAGAAGGCCAACAACCGTCTTTCGAGGCCGCTCTCAGTCTCATCACGATTTAACCTCCCCCAGACGTCGTATAGAGATTCTATTGCATCTAGCTCTCTCCAACCTCTCCAAGAGGAGTCGCCTGTCGAGCCGAATCGCAAGTCATATGTCTCCTTCGATAGTGCTTCTGAAGATGCCGCTACTTCTCGTCAGAGTATCATCGACGATGAGAACGCCAGCGTTGCTGCCACCGATGGTGGCTCACTCAGTGAACGGTTGAGCGTTATTGTTGCAGATGATGAAGAAGAGGAGGACGATGAACTTCAAGATTTCTTGGCTGGAAACAACTTCGCACCACAGAATTGGATGAAGGGTTCACTCATTGGCGAAGGATCATTTGGAAGCGTTTTCCTTGCCCTTCACGCAATTACTGGAGAGCTCATGGCCGTTAAGCAAGTTGAGATACCCTCGGCAACTCAGGGTACCGAGTTCGATAAACGGAAGAACAGCATGGTTACCGCACTGAAGCATGAGATCGATCTCCTGCAAGGCCTTCATCATCCAAATATTGTGCAGTACCTGGGAACTATCGCCGACGAGCAATATCTGAACATTTTCCTGGAATACGTCCCTGGAGGCTCTATTGCTTCGATGCTCAAGCAGTACAATACCTTCCAGGAGCCATTGATCAAGAACTTTGTCCGACAGATCCTGACCGGTCTCCAATATCTTCACGACCGTGACATCATCCACCGTGATATCAAGGGCGCCAACATCCTGGTCGACAACAAGGGTGGCGTTAAGATCTCTGATTTCGGTATCTCCAAGCGTGTCGAGGCTTCCACCGTTCTCGGTTCCCGAGCTAGCGGAGGTAGTCATCTCCACCGGCCTTCTTTGCAGGGTAGTGTCTACTGGATGGCACCGGAAGTTGTACGACAGACGGCCCATACCAAGAAGGCCGACATTTGGAGTTTGGGCTGTCTCGTTGTCGAGATGTTCATCGGAGCCCATCCATTCCCGGATTGCAGTCAGCTCCAGGCTATCTTCGCCATCGGCAACCACAAAGCACGTCCCCCTGCCCCGGAGCATGCGAGTAAAGAAGCCACCGCGTTCTTGGACATGACGTTCCAGATAGATCACCAAAAGAGACCTGATGCGGATGAGCTGCTGAAGTCGCAGTTCTTGTCTTTACCACTTGCATGAGCTATCTATTGTACGGAGTACGGATGGCATAACGATTCTACCGCATCTTCATTAGAGATTTATGAATACCCCGGAGTTCTTTAGACATCAGCATTGATATCTTCTGAATTGCTACGCGTCTATGATCAATTATTTGCACACAAGTCTTGATGGCTTATGTCCGTGTATTGCACGGGTTTTTTTTTTTTTTTTGGGTCTTGTTTCAGATGTACTAGGTTGCATTGGATATCGCTTTTTAATTTCCTTCCTTTGACAGGAAATACTAGAGCTGGTCTTGTTACTTCTGTTCCTTCTAACCTTACCTCTTATGATTGTGTTTATTGCCCCATAATCCACGAGAATGAGCAATCGAGGAAGAGATAGGTTGGTCAAGCTTTTAATCTACATAATACAAATGGTATAGACTGGACTCATGAAACATGAAAACTTCGTTTAAAGGTACTAAGGTACTAAAACAGAGAAATACATAACAGGACTAAGAAATGCAGGCTTCTATGTTACATGTTTATTGCCAACTGCCAAACCATTTTTCATTTGCAAGGCGTGCTTCCGTCGGATTAGTCTAGACCACTCAGATGGACAAGTCCATTTTTTAGTCGACCAGCTTGCCATGGAACGGTATACCCATGGCACTCAGCAAAAGCCGGGCGTCCTTGTCGGTTCTGGCGCTGGTGTGGAGGGTAACGTGACAACCGGGAATCATCTTGGGCGGGTACCTAGTCGAATTTGTTAGAAATAAAACGCCTTGG